TAAGGCCGAAAGAATGGGGCACCCAGTGAGGATCGAACTCACTACTCAGTTGTAATTGTTCTAACGAGACAAGGCGCCCTAAAAAAATCAGAAATTGGATATGGAGTATGAATTGGACATGGTTGACCTGTTCAGGAAGTCACAAGTCATTGTGACTGAGAGTTTGAATATATTTGCCTTGTTCAAGAAATTGATCCTGCCAGATTATTTGCCCTCCCCCAGAAATTGTAACTAAGATCTGCTCAGTATAGTTGCAGTATAAACCATGGGTGGGCTCTGGATTGAGCAGGCACCTGTAAATAGGGTTCAGCAAAAAGCGCTGCTCAGAAATGAATAGTCATCAGCCATTCTGATCTGTCCTCATGTGGACTTTGTGTCCTTTGGTTTTTTTTCCCTGGCATTTGTCAGCACATTTGATGATTTTATCATTGTCTAATAAAAGAAAAAACAGAGAGTATGTGCACTGAAGTTTTGTGTTTCTTCTGGAGGAAATGGCTGCTGAAATCGTTGGATAAATGTTAGAGGAAACACACCTATTCTATAGTTAATAGACTCTCCGCCCTTATAGAAGTACATAGTAAGAACTAGAGTCAGTGATGTCAGTAGTTGACAAATAGTTGAATAAAGTAGAGTAGCACAAGATTACCTCATAATACCTATTATCGTTTTAACGTTTTGTACATTGAACTATTTAGGATCGATTTGGTATTTAAAAGTACTAAAATAACTCCACAAAATTATATATCATCCTCACGCCAAAGTTATTGGGAGTTATTTCGCAAGATGGAGGCTAGTATTTGTACTAAATCAGTCGTAAATAATTCAAGGTACAAAACATTAGAATTTGGTAATAGGTATTACGTAGAGCCCTCTTGTGGTTGCTGACTTCTTGTGATTCAACTTGTCGACTACTGTCGTCTGACATCGACTGACCCTTGTTTCTCTTACTACTCCTACTTATATTAGGTGGGAGAGTCTATTAACTATAGAATAGGTGTGTTTCACCATAACAATAAAACAAGTGTATAAGGTGTTTTTTGTATTTCAAACAGGGTGAAGGTCACTTGAAGACTAGCCCTGATTTGGCAAATGTTAACAAGCTAGTTTCCGTATGAATTCCCACAAGTTAAGTCTTGAAAACGTTCCCTACACAACCAAATTGTGATCATTGTTGTATGATTCAATGTTAGTTGAGGGATTTGTCTTGGAATTCAGGCTTGGGAATTTTACCAGATTTTTACTTTGCTTATAAAACATAATTGTTTAAATAATTGTCATTATTTGAAGGAATCATTTTTAAATTACCAACAGTTTCCCAAAGTTCAGCTTCCATGGTTACCACCTGAAAATAAAACAAGCACTGAACAATAAATTCATGAAAACTCAAGAAAGTGCAGCAGGTGTGTGACCACATGTCCAGATTATGGTGCTTTATTTCTTTGATACAAATAGGATCCTGCATAAGGATTGTTTCATCTTGCACTGAAAATAAATTTATAGTTTCATTTGAAGTTACTGAAAAAGACTGTGCAAGATTGTGTGGAGAAAAGGATCTGACTGTGATTTCTCCGCCCACAATGCATTTCAGTGTCCAACTGAGTTAGATACATGGCTGGCAATTTCCCCTCTTGATTGGTCTCTCATCAGAAACATGGTCTGAATGGGAAATGAAACAAAAAAAAAAAAAAAAAAAAAATGATGGATGTCTTTGACATCAAACTGAAGACTTCCATAAATGTTTCCAGTAGAGGAAAAAAAATTTGAAGATGTTTTGGGTTTCTCTCCCAACCCTTTTATTTTAGGGTTCCTCCAATATAAGGATGAAGAAATGAAAGCAATAGCCAACTGCTGTATTTCCCCACAAATAAAAAACACTCAAGTAGATTTAAAAAAAAAAAAAAAAAAAAAAAATTTGTGAACAATTTAATTAGTGCAAGGAAATTGCTGTGACATAGAGCCTTTATTTGCATCTGAAGCTTCTTAATTTTTGGCAGGGAGTTGCAAGAATGACCTGGGATTAGTCAAAGATTCAATTTACTCTTTCACATTGAATTTAGGAATTTTTAAATAATAGATAGGAAATATTTTTTTAAAGAACTGTCACCTTTGTTATTTGTCTTTCATGAAATAATGACTGTGTGTGTGCAGAATTTTTTTTAATTGTCCCTTAGTCTGAATATTCCTTTCACTGTAACATTCTTCTCAAAGCCGTAGGAAACATTTTAAAAGGGTTTGTGATAAAAACAAAAAAACTTTAACTAATATAGAACAGTTTAGTCTGAGTGATTGTTTATTTTCTTTACATAATTGTAAAAATATTTTCGATTTTAAATGGTTGAGGTTTGATAAAGCAAATCTTTTATTCACCCACAGAAACAGAAGAAAAGAAATATGAAAATAGTTGATGTAAGTCAAAAAAGAATAGGTAACTTAATATGTAAAGGACCATAATTCAGGAACATCACTGGGTGCAGCCATATTGAATTCCAACACTAACATGAGAAAGAGTTTTCTAATTAAAATGCCTTAGGGAAACAGAACAAACCCTAATATCTGAGAAATAAAATGAACCAAACATTTAAAAACTTACTTAAGCCAAATTTCAATTTAATAATGCCACTAAGATGTCTTAATAGACATCGGACAATATCAATGTACAAAAAACTTGCAGTCAACAGTTGGTTTAAATTAGAAAGGCATTTAATTTTTTTTTGTTTCTGTTTTTTGCAAAGCATTAAACTTTTTACAATATTAAAATATAAAACGTCCAAAATCTGGAAACACCGAGAACTAAGAAATCAATCTAAGTAATCAATGAAATTGCTGTCTTTTAAGAAACGGAAATCTTAAAGTGCTTTAATCAAGCAATGCAACTTGTTACAAATATGTTAACCACATATATAAAACAATATATATATATATATATATATATATATATATATATATATATATTATACACACAAATAAAAAAACTCTTCTATTTTGCCAGAAGGAATGTCCAAGACTGAGATGCTCATCTCTATGTAAATGATCATTTTGCTGACATAGCACAAATGCCACTGATGATGTTTGCACTAATGGAATTCTTAAATTGTAGTTTGATCTGGAGATTGATAAACTTTTAGAGTAAGATGTGTTTAAATATATATGTACTATATTTGCCAACATCAAGGATGCAGGGTTATTTTTTTTTCCTGAAATAAGTCTTGAAAATTTGCATAAGATACAGCATACACTTACAAAAAGCTTCACACAACAATTTTCAAAACTTATTTTAGGAAAAAAAAAAAACTGTCTTCAATGCTGGCAATTAAAGTATATATTAAAAATGGTTTCAATCATTATAATTGATTTCATTTAAACATTGGGAACGCAGCAGAGAATCGATTGTCATCTTAATTTTATCTTTAGTTTAATATTCAGCAAGTATGTTGTCATATTTTGACTATTAGAGATATATTTGAAATGTGAAACATTTGAAACAAAAGAAAAAACTTGTCCTAATTATTTTCAGAACCTGAAAAATTGACCAAAGATCAAAGAAGCATTTTTGAGGAATAGTCAAATAGATAAAAATTCAATCCGAGACTCTATGATTCTCTCACAGCTACAGCAATAGTATCAAGAGACGTGCAACAAATGAGACAAGCAAGAAGAGATTTTCTTTTGGTAGTTTTCCAAACTTAAAATAATACTTGAGGTAATAATGAAGAAGGTTTTTTTTTGGTTTTTTTTTTTAAACCATGATCAAGAATGAAAAACTCAGAGAATTAACACAAACTTATAGGTAAGATTGTTTGTCAAAGGAATTTGAGCAAAATGTATGTCAGCTGTATTTGCTTATGATTCAAGAACTGAGAAAACAATCAGCTAATCGGAAATGAGACTGCTTGCAGAGATGGCAGAAAAAAAAAGTATGGAGTTGGACAATAGGTGCTCTAGCCAGAAATAATAATTTTTTTTTTTTTTCTAATATATTACTAGAGATTAATCGCTCCAGATCATGAATATCAACGACAAAAATTTTTTTTATTAAATTTCATTAAAATTTAATAGGGGGCCCAGTTTGCTATGTCATTGTAAATTGATCCCCCTTATGGAGGCTAAAACAAAATATGCTCAGACAAAAAGATTTCTTAAAATCTAGATTTTTTTAATAAAATACAGATTTTGTTTTTTTTAAATTAGTAACCTGGAATACTTAATCGACAGTCATATATGAAAAAAGAACTCCAGGTTAAAACTTGAAATTTTTGTTTTACATTTTAAGAAATCATATACAAGCATATTTGTTTTGACTTCGATGGGGGTAGTGGGGATCAATTTATAATGAATTTACATAGTAAACTTTCTATTAACTTTTATAAAATTTTATAAAAAAAAATTGATATTTGTGATCCAGATTGCTTAATTTATAGAGATATAAAAAAAAACATTTTGAAGAAAATTATTATTTCTGGTTGTTATGCTTATTGTACAAATCCATTGTAGGGTTGGGGTGGGGGAAAGCATCTCAATAAATTTAGTGAAAAATAGTAACTATTTAGTTTAACATTTTGAAATGGACTCACAGAAGTGACATTTAAACATATCTATTCTAGATAAACATTACCAGTAACATTTGAATGGACATCTGGTTTTTCTTCAACGACCATGCCGGTCAAAGTTTTGTCAATACCACCTGGAATCTAAAACAAAATCTAATGAAGGATTACAGTGACACTAAAGTCATCTTTCCTTTTTTTTTTTTTTACAGCTACATTTCCAAAAAAGTTCAGCAGTCTTTAGTTTTATCTCTTTATTAAATCAAGATGGCCACATGTTAGTCCATATGCCTAATGGCTCTGGCAAAGGCTCTCTGCATCTTGTGCCTATGTACCCAATGAAATAAACCTTCCTCTGGGAATGTCTGTACCTAAGTTCAGGATAAGTACCCAGAGATTTCCAAACTGACTCCACCTTTAGCTGAGCATGACTATGGCCTTTCCTTTAAAACAAAGTCATGTCCATCTGAAAGTTCTCAGCCCCATGGAATAGTAACGCCAGCCCATAGGCTTATCCCGATCAAATGCATCAGAGTCCATGTCATCTGTTTCTGCATGGGGTGGTTGGTCTTGAGGATAGTGCTGACCATCATCTAGTCGAGACAAGTTATCCTGACTCTCGTCATAACTATTACCACCATGGTCAGGATAGTAACCAGCATCCTGATTCATATCAGGCATTTGGTTATATCGACTGTCTGTATCATGAGAAAATTTATTTGGACCACTCATGCCAGGCCGCACCCGGTCATCATGATCCATGAGACCAAACTCTTTTGGGTCACGTGGTCCCATCTGGTTTCCCACTCCTGAATTTTGATGCCAATTATTGTTGTCATGAAATGACTGCTCAAATGGCTGTGACATCTGATTGTACTGTTCATGTTTGTGCCCACTCCTGTGGCCTGACTGACTGGTTGCCTCATTATCCTGCCTGTGCCGGCTTTTGAATCCATGTGTGTCATCATACTGACTACGATGATAACTTTCGTTTCTGTAAGGGGAACGAGAAGACCGATCACGTGTCTCCATATTATCTGCAGGTTTCTGGTGATGATAGTCAATGGCCATGTACTTCTGTTCATTCTGCAAGTCTACATTTTCCGCTGCATTGTAGTAATTATCATCTGGCAATGGAGAGAAGCGCTGGTCCGTATCATACTTCTGGGACTGGTTATTATAGCAGGGATTTGTCCTGGAATCATCTTGCAGATGACTAGAATTTGACCATATAGTCTTAGAAACCAGGTTCTCTAAGGCAGACAATGCCATGGCAATGGTATTACTATCAGTCTTATCTGCCCTGCAACAAAAGAAAAAGAAAAAAAGTTACAAAGATACTCTTTAAATCTATTCAATCCACTAGTGTATAGATAGTACAAACTAGTAGGTCAGCTGTATTACAAATAACTTCCAAAATAGTTACTAATATAAAAAAAATATGTACCAGAATTTCTATCATTGTAGCTGTGGAAAAGTGGAAAAGAGCCGATAATAAGTCTTCAACCTTATCACAATGGGGCCCTGACCGAATTGGTGAAAAATCTGAAATGTTAGTGCATTTAAATTAACATATCTCAAAACTGGTTGACAGTCAAGTTGATTTTATATGAGAGTAAATTGATTTCTCTTTTCAAGTAAGGTCAAGCTTAGGCTTGCTACTGGTAACATGTAACCCAATACAACCTGCCTCATTTCAATAAAAATACTTTGTGTACTGTTGTCTGAATTGGGCGTCGGGCAGAGTGTTGGGCCTTGTAAAAGCTTGCCTCAAATCATCATGACAAATCCTTTGTCAAGCAGAAGCCACATTTGTTTTGTGATTAATCTCGGTCTTGCCTCAACAAAAAAAAAACAAAAAAAAAAAAAAACATGGCTGTGTGTGTGTGTGTGTGTTTCAAATGATACCAAATTTAGCGTCTTTGGTATGATGACTGATTATGAGATCTGCTTTTGGAAATCTACATCTTTTACAAAGTTGAACATTTATGGCAGTTCTAGTTCATCATGTGATGGCTGTTAACACTATGCATACAGTACTAGCCAATTGTAACTGCATTCAGGTGCTGCCAAACTGTAAGCATGTGAAATTTGCAGCCACATTTAGGTATTTCTGGCCTGAAAAGGTCAAGTCAATCCGAAAAGAAAAGGATTCTCTACTGAATTGCCAGTAGGAATCAATATGGCAGCTACTTATCCAAAATCTCCCTACACTTTTTGCTGAAGTTCAATGACCTCAAAAGCAACATTAAATATCCTTATTAAATGGATTAAAGACAAAAGAATTTTGTTTGATTTTGCTTCAATAAACAATTGCTAATGTAGAAGTTACACAGTTTATGTTAGAATAAATAGTAAATTTAAGATTTTTTTACTTGGTTAACTGTATTTATGATTGGTTATATTTTGCAATAGTAGTATAGTCAGCAGATACTCACTGGAGCTATTCTGATTAGAAATAGAAAAAAAAATCCACTAATTGCTGGTCACATGAAAATAGATATTGATCAATTTGTTTTTTAACTGCTTATCAACCTTTGCAGGTTATGTAAAGCCAGAAATTTTGAAGTTTGTAAGAATTTGCTTTGGAGTTAATGATTAACGAACACAAGGCCTACTAATCAATCCATAGGTTTGATTCATACCTCTTCCAAGGGTAAATACACATTAAGTGAATATAACAAATTTGACTGGAATTGGAACTTAGGTCTCAAATTTCCTATTCTGAGCTATTTATCAATTACAGCACCTGCACATCCAAGCTTACAACACCTGGTAGTCCCAAGCAGTCACCCATCTAGGTACTGAACAGGTTCACCATTGCTTAACAATGATGACCATACAACAACTGGTGTTTCAACGTGATATAGTCTTAAGCCAAAATAGGTTTCAAGTATATCCAGGAACATTGAGTCCTTTATATAGTTCTACTTACTTGAGATGTTTGGCCAATTTTGAGAGCTTGGACAATATACCAAGATTCTGGCTTAAGTCTTTAACTTGCTCCAGTACTGATGACAGTTTGTGGATGTCCAAGAAACTTGAGAGCTTCGGGTCAACTTTTCTGCCAGCTCCACTTCTGTGAGAATCTGCAGACCTGAAGTCAAAATCATCTTGGCACCAGCTGCCTGAGCGTAGCTTGTCTTCAGGGTTGAATGCCTTTTGTAAATCGTCCAATGAGTTAAAAAAGGACGGACTAAGATTTGTTTTGTTGGTGTGTCCCAGGGCAACCAGTAGTTCATTTAATGCACGTGCTGAATCTGGGTTCTCAGAGGCAAATTTCTTGGCTTGGTCCTTAAACTGGTTAAATATATCATTCACTTTTGTATTAGATCTATAATTAAAAAAAAAAAAGAAGACTTTAATTTCACAAATAAGATTGCGAAGAATAACAATTGGCACACTTCTGTTTTAATAAACAGTGTGAAATATTTAAATGCTATGTAAGTGCAGAAAAAAGTTCAGTTTAAAAGTCATTTCTGTTTCTAGAGCAATAAATTCAATGTTGCTTAAACAGTATATATATGTATAGTGATGATTGTACTTACTAGGCTGTCTGACATCTAGGCTACACTTAAAAAATCCTGTGTGTGTGTGTGTGTATATATATATATAGATAGATAGAGAGAGAGAGAGAAAAGGTGCGATGTATAAATTATCGTCTAAATTATGCAAAAATGAAAATAACACTACATCACATTTTAAAAAATATATTTATCAAAATTACACAAAAATATATTGAAATACTAAGAAAATTTATTCAATAAAATTGCCATTGGCTTCAACTGCACTCTCCTGCAACTCTTCTGGATGGTCTTGTTTAAATTGGTGAATGCTGCCATAATCCTTGCCTTGCGTTCATCTTTGGTGTTACAAGGAATTTTGTTGGTCTCTCACTCAACTGCACCCCACACATAATAATCAAGGGGGTGCAGTCTGGAGGATTATGTGGCCAGATGTAAGGGGGTGGTGTGGTCCTAGAAATTGTCCAACAACCATGACTAGTTTCTCCTGGTTGTGTGGCATGGTGTAGAGTCCTGTTGCCAGACAAAGGTTCTTCCAGCAGCCACCCTCTTGACCCAGGGAAGCACTACTTCCTCAAGGCATTTAATATAGCCCTCAGTGTTGTGTCTGAGACCCTCACCAACAAATTCAGTTCTTTTCTTATCAGAATGATCAAAGTGAATTTTCCGAGCTGCCATACCTTCTTAATCACCATTAAACTCAACCAACTCTTTCTGAATCTTGTGACTGTCCTTGGATTGACGTCCAAACACTCTGAAATCTTTGTATTGGAGCTTCTGGCACGGTGAATTGCATCATGGTGCTCTTTTTCTCACAGACAGTACCCAACTGACTTTACTATACTGTGCAGTCAACAAAATCAAAAAAAAATTGGCTTGCAAATATAAAATGGCCACAATTTACCCATCACGCTGTGTGTGTGTGTGTATATATATATATATATATATATATATATATATATATATATATATAAACTAAAAACATACTTACTGTTTATCTGAAAATTTATCATGTTCTTCTTGCTGAATATTATCAAAATATCTATCCCACTGAAAGAGAAAAAAAAATGCATGAGAAGTAGGTTTGCTTAATTGAAATCAAAAATATTCATTTAAGGGAAAAAAGCCATGAAAAGATTTAATAAGCAATCTGAAAAACATTACAAGAAATAAATTTGACAGATTTAATTTTAATTAAAAAATAATTAATTAAAACATTACTGGTATTTATTAAACCTGCCTCAAAATTCCCTCCCTTCATTTAAATTTCTTTAATTTTTTAATTTAGACACCAAGTGTTTTACTTGCACAAATCATTTTGACTTATTTTGGCTTCAGTTCAAAGAATTCAATATTTCAAGCTGCGTGTGGGGCATTAGAAAAGATGCAAACATTCATTTTTGAAGGACATGGTGATATTTTCTGAAATACTTTTTAAAAGTTGAATTTCTAAAGGAAAAATCTGAACACTAACAACATGGATAATAAATACACACTGCTCTGATTTTTAATAACTAAATTAGCAAGTGATGAGGTTGCATTTTATATAGATCTATTTTCTCAAATATTAACTTATTATAATATTCAAATATGTATCGTCTTCTCATCATTTATTATGGGTCAAATACATGCCCAATTTGATGCAAGCCCACCCTAAAATTATGAAAAAAGCCAATTCTTGCCTATCACATTTTTAACCCCATGTCCTCCTGGTGTCATCTCGAACTGACACTTTCATTTTTCCATATATTGTGACCATTTTGCTTGAAGTTTGTATTTTCATATTCATAATGAATTCATAAGAAAACTAAGAAATTGTCAGGCATATTCGGTATTTTCAAGGTAATTGTTCTGATGAAATATCCTTTTTGGTACATTGACTATAAATTTAAATGCAGTATTAGATTGGTGGCAAAGACTCATTATTTTACAGATGAAATGGCCACTAGATGTAACCATGAGTTTTTTTGCTGACAGTTTATTCTCTTGCACTTCTTGCTTGCGGAACTCTCTTCCAGCTTATAAAATTATCAATTGTTAATCTTCTGTCTTCTTGATTACGGTTTTATTTTTCTCTCTCCTTAATAATGTTTTCTTTTTCTCATATTCTCTCACGCTTCATAACACTTTGTGTCCTAGTAGCTTTATTGCCCTACTTGGAGTGAAATGATTAAAAATAATACAGATTTCAAGGAAGCTGTTATTATGCAAAATTATAGTTTATATATATATATATATATATATATATATAAAGGTGTCAGTTTAAACTGATGCTGAAGGATATTAGTTAAAGAAGTTTAACAACTTAGATATATTCCAATGATTTAAGTCTCAAGAAAACTTTTTACACTGACACTAGAAAGTCTATAGTCAGTTGAAGCAAAAATAGCTGTGGAAATATAGTATATAAATTCTGTCAGTCAGTTATGTACCATGCGTGATACACGCTTAGGCAATCACATATTTTTTGATACATGACTGACCAGGCAGATTTTTTTCCTGCAGTAGGTTGCCATTACTTTCTGCAGTAGACCAGTTGCCATCCAAGTTTATAGAACCTGATCTGTCCAGCTATTTATCCATAGCTGGGGGGAGAGAAGAAGAGGATTCATACCTTTCCCAAGGGTATTAGCACGTAAGTGAATGTAATGGATTCAACTGGAATTCAAACTTGGCTCCCTGATTCCTCAGTCTGAGCCACTATCCATTACTCCATCATGTCAGTTCAGACTAATATATTTATCTTTGCTGTTTTACCACATTTCAGTCATATACCTTCCAGCCTTCATCAGATGCCCATGTACTTGGAACATTGAATCTTGTACTGTGGGATATATGCACCTATGTGTTCTTGAAATGTTCACCTCCTGACCTATGTACTGAACCAGTGACAACCATCCAATCAACAAAATGAAATTTACCATCACCATTTCTGCTATTTCTGTCACAACAGACCAACTCTTCCCTTTGGCCAGTGAGATCTCAAACTCTCTCTCTTACCAACCCTCTGCCCATCACTACATCCCAATTCATGATTCCCAACTCCCTAACAATCAACCTGGAATTACCTGAAACAACTATAAGCCTGCCAATAAAATTTTCTTACGTCCTGCTAAGTGGCACTCGATCCCAAAGTTTTAGATGGTTGCTTAATTCATTTTCTACAACTTTTCTATACAATGCAGATTATTTAAAGTCAGAATATCAGAATATATTTTTAGACTGTAAGAAGTTTTTTTTTTTTTTGAGATAATGGTGTTACGATAAAAGTCTTACTAATTACCCCATAGTAAAAGAGGTGGATTAATACCTTTCCCAATGATATTTGTGCTTATGTGAATTTAACAAAACCAATGGGAATTGGAAGTTGGCTCTCCATTATCCATCACACCACCAGCATATAGAAGCAACAGCACTTGGTATTCCCAAGTGGTCACCCATCTAGGAACTGACCAAGCTCAGTGTTGCTTAACTTTAGTGATCATACAGGAACCAGTGTTTCAATGTGATGTGGCCATAAGCCCAAAGTCTTAGAGAAAATGGTAACAAAAAGGACACATACTTAACATCAGGAAGAGAAAGTTGAAATTTCCGGAGCACATAAGAAAAGAGGGCTTGGAAAATTTGATACTCACAGGAAAGATTGAAGGCAAGAAGGATAGAAGAAAACAATACAATCTACCAAGTGAGCTTGAGTAAATTGATGGTGGAACAAGGTTTAGGAGAGATGAAAAAAAAATGACAAAATTAAGAGCTACAAAGGACAGGAAATTGTGGAGAGCCATGATTTTCAACATCTTGAAGAGGAGTGAAACTGCTACTGCAGAATACGACAGACATCACTTTTGAATCCAAAGCAATGCAATTTGCAGGATAGGGAAGCCAACATAGAAATGCTAACCAACATAAAAACAAAACACTCAATGGAAATGGAATTGGAAATTCTTCCTTCATGTGGCATATTCAGCAAACTTGTTGCCATCAGATTAGCATTCCTTATTTGATTTGATTTCCCAAGGTCTTTTGATGTTCAAAATTTCATTGACATCTTTACTGTGTCTGAGATGAAATATGAAAATTTCTGGCATGTTTATAACTTCATTTCAATTTGGAAATTTATCTATAAATGCAACGAGAGAGGCCTGTAACCCTACCAAGTAGTAGTCCTGGGTATGACGATAAACTACATCTAGCAGCATGGCCTCTGATCAGGAGACTGGAGGTTTTCAGGAGCATAAAACCGCATCTTAATTGTGGTTGTTCCCATGTCCTACATGACCCGGAGTGGTAGCACCTGTTAGGGTCCCAGCTATAGGCAAATAGTGAACCCCCAAACAAAAAACTACAAAAGTATAAGACTACATTTTTCAGATTAAAAATACCAGCAATACATTTTATATAAAAAAAAATTGTCAACAACACCCACTGATAGTAAAATTATAAACAATAAATTTTATTTGTAGGCAAACAAATACATTCAAAATATTTAGATTTTGGCATTAAATAACTCAGAGGTTGATACGCTGCTAACCAAATCAACTCACCAAAAGGCTTCAGATGGCCAATGAATTAAGTGATAAGTGATGTGAGATTCTATTTTGGGAGGTATGACAGGGAAAACTAAAGGAAAATCTGTTGATGGTTAGTAGAGACTAATTAAATGCTAATTAGTCGCAATAAATGAAATCAGCCAACAATAGTATGATGTATTAAACCATTCAGAGCTAAGTAAATTCCCAACTTCTTTCACTTCACCATTATGTTTGCCTGGGTTGGCAGGACAGATGGACCTGGATAGCTTCACTTATCCCTAGATCCATTATCCAAGGAATAAAAAGCATATTCACTTTAACTACTATTAATCCACGATTCCTATTTCTTTGTAAAATATTCCAGCCAAGTTTTTTCTACAAAGCAAACTTGTAAGCATCTGGTTTCCAAACAATAGATGTATTCAGAGCCAATGAATTTAACATTTAGCACTTTGCATCATTTATAAATATTACTTCTCCTTTTACTGTATATGGAATCCCCTCAAATTAGTGTTTTATATATTAGTTCTCTATATTTGTAATTGCAGTAGCCTGGCTCTCAATTTCAGTCAAGGTTGTTTTAGGTGTTGCCATAGAAGGATATGACTATACAATCAAGAAATCCAAATTCAACATTCATTGGCAGGACTAAAATTTTGATTGGTGAACATAGTCACCTACACAGTGATAAAGGTTATGAGTGATCTCAGTAACATATCTTATTGCTATCTGGACAATTGTCAATTCAGAGGAAAGTGCTTAGGTCAGAGGCAGATACTAGCCATATTGTAATCACTGCCTGTAGTCAGGTGTTGAGTCCCAAATGAACAGAGAGACTTGTAACAAATATGCATATGGAACACTATTTAAACATTGATGAATATAAGGCAGATACAGGTCATTACAAACACCAGTGTTCCAGGATCTATCAACTTCCTAGGGTTGCAGGAAATACGTTTGGTTCCAATCTAATAGGACGTGACTGCAAAATACTTTCCCTCTCTTCCCCAATTTATAGGCAGAAGCACACATTGAATACTGGGATTTCTAGCCAATAAGATAGGCTAGTTCTCGGGTTTAATATGATTCAGTCCCAGTCTGTCTTGAAGTCAGAACACTATGTTCGCTTCTCAGAATTTTCTCTTGGGTGTCAACCCCAATTCTTAGTTTGTGAACTTTTTGCCATACTACTGTTAATTTGCCTTGAATATATCGTTTGCTTGTTTTATATTATTTTTGACTCGTTCTTTTCTTTTTCTTGTTATTGCTTATTATGAACTTTGTCAATTCCGTTTGTTGGACAGTTCTACCATTTATTGACATTTAACTTTGGCCACTCACTCTAAAAAAATATTTTAGTGGAATTCCAATCCCTGATGTAAACACCATAAATAAAACCAATGTTGGAAATTTAATGTTAAATACAGCAGTTTTGTTGACTTAAAGGAATTCTTGAATCCTATTTTTGTGTCTGTGACACTTGCTCCAGTATGAGGATGCTTCAATTGAAATTTCCATCACTTGCTAAATCAGAACAGAGCAGGGACCAAGTTTGTTTTGATTTTTGTTCAAATGTTTCAAAGTTAAAGATAAGAAGACACACCTAATAACACAAGTAAGAGTCAGTGACTAAGATTTGGGATGAGTAAAATGTTGCAACTGCTACCAATAGCCAGAAAGACGATCTTCAGCCTAACATCTGATGATGTCAGATGAGAAAAAAAAAGATCTTTCTTCATTTCATAGAAAACAAACTAAAATAAGTAGAAATCTTTATAACCATTATCAACATTTAAGTTAATATGAACCTACAATAACAAAATGACCTAATTTAGAAAATGCCATACGGAATTGATATACAAATCTATAAGGATTCTCTCTTACAGCTTTTAAGGCTTACAATCATATCATGTTGAAACACTGGTTCCCAAAGTTAAGCAATGTCAAGCCTTGTCAGTACCTATATGGCTGACCACTTGGGAATGCTGTAAGCTTGGATGTGCAGGTGGTGTAATGGATATTATCCCAGAATTGTTCAACAGAGAGCAGAGTTCCAATTCAAGTTGGGTTTGTTATATTCAATTAGGAATGGAATTCAAAGGGAATGGTATGAATCTACCTCTTTTCTCCTAGGTATACACTAATTACTAAGACTTGTATCACTAAAACCATTATTATGTCAATAAAAAATTTTTTTTTTAAATTCTTACAAGCTAAAAATAATTTCTGGCTTTAAATAACCTGCAAAAGGTTAATAAGCCGTAGAAAATGAATCAACCTGTTTTTAAAATATGCAGTACTAGAAAAGTGAATATTTTTCTTTTTTTTATTAGGACAAAAGAATTTCTCACTGGTCAAAAATATTCATACTTACCTGCTTAGAATTGAACTGTTCATCAACTCTGCTGGTGAGGGAAACAAACCTCCTGTCTCCTCCCGCTTTTACCATTTCATTTTCTTCTTGATTCTTGGTTGCTGATTTGTTGGCAATGTAATGGTATCTGTCATTACGAAGGAGTGCTGGTCTGTTTTGCAAATTTGAAGAATGAACAGATTGAGCAGCAGACGGAAACAGAGGACTTCTTGGTCTTTCAGTTGAGTGAACTTGTGGACTCCTGCGCCGTGGTAGGGGACTCCGACTTCGGTGTTGAGGTAGTCGATAGGAAGGGGAATTCCTAATGTGTCGCCGAGATGCAGTTGGACTTTGGCTGCGGGTTTGCAAATCTAAATCTAGTTCTTGACCAGCTGGAGAGGAAAAAATGAATTAAGTGATTTATCACAGATCTATTTTGAACAATATTCATCAGAATATTGTTGAAGATAGACAAAAAGATAAGTGATTGAGAAGCTTTAAAAATGGAAGGCCATTTAAAAAATTATGACACTTTGCTAAACAGACAGAATTGGGAAGCCTTAAATTTATACAAATAAAACGAAGTGTCTGTACATCTACTATAGGCTCAAAAAGTACTGGACAGATTATGTAAAGTTGACCTAGTTCAACCATGGTAGTCATGAAAGAAGCCATTTCACATGGAATTTAAATATTTATTCATATAAAAAAATGTGGTAAGGGAGGCACATCAAATTTTGATAAGGAATTAATGTGTGGTTACTTCCCTTAGTAATTTTAATAATCTATGCTAGTGTTTCTAAACCATTTTTTTTACTTCAGGGTACACTTGTAGAATAACTAAAACTATAGGGGTGCACTTTAAATTTTAATAAAGAAATCATGAAATTTGTAAATAAAGAAATAACCTGAAAAAAGAATTTATATTTAAGACATTACATTATATATTTAAGTATGCCTGTTCTTAGCAATTTTTTTAATGTTATATGTTAAGCTTTGAGGAGAGGAAAAAAGGGAAGGATTATCTACTGCTTCTCAAAGATTAAGGAATTTAGCATCCAGTTTAAAATATCAACTAACAAAGACATGACTTAGTCATGAAAGCCATGTGTTTTGGTGTCTAGCTTTTTAAAAATAAAAATTTTTTTAAATATAAAAATAATTCATAAATTATTCTTCTGTTAATTTAGGGCGCATTTAGTTTACTTTCAGGGTGTATTAGTACACTTGGGTACACTGATTGAGAAATGCTCATCTACTCAATTATAAAACAAAGTGACTGTCTTTTTATTGAGACAAAATTAATTTCTCAGCTATGTCAAAGACCACTGTTTAGTTTTTTAAATAAAAGATATTTAAAAACAAAATATAATTGACATGGAATATGTCACGTTTTTATTTTAGGCCAAGATTAATCTTGTTAAAAGGAATTAAGATACAACACGATAATTGCAGTTATCTGATATAGCAAGCATACACTTGTTGGTTGAAAGTCTTCTTTCATTCAGAAGTTGTTTTCAAGTGTTTCCTTAATTTAATCACAGTTAAGCCAATATTTGTTCACATGTCAATGAGTAGTTTGTTCAAGAAGTGACAGTATTGACAATTGTCAAACAGATCAAGTGTCTTTGAAATGTATAGTTTTATTTTACTTGGTAATGGAAATTTCTAAAATTAGTGAAAAACATTAATTTGGCTTTCTTAAATTAAAAGCTTATCTTTTAAGTTTAAATTCATTTACACACACACACACAAGATCTAAAGTCTCATCTTTCATAAATTTGCATATGGTTAAAAAATGCCAGTTTATCCTCACCTCACATCAGAATAAAACATCCCACATTCTTAATATAGAGAGAATAATTTTGATATCAGCATTATATATATATACACACACACACATATATATATATATATATATATATATATATATAAAGAGAGAGCCTACTCAGTATCTGAAGATAGCATTGGGCATGAAACTGAGTCATGCTACTGGTGAGGAATAAAATGTATACTTAATAGGTCTGTTAAATTACATAGAGCACTATTTTATCAACACTAGCATTCAATGTGCAATATATATATATAACAATTTTTAAAAGTATATTTTAATAAATATTTCATTTAAGTTATTTCTTGAAAAAAATTTTAAAAATTTCCATTATAAGTTGTTTCTGTTGATAAAGTTTTTCAATTCAGAAAAAAATTGGAAAAAAGAATTTATATCTGCCTTGTCAAAAATCAGTTATAAGTTATCAGAAAAATATCAGTGTGTCTACTTTTAAAAAAAATATAAAAAGGAGTGTGATTTTGGCTTCTAAAAGCATTTTTTTAAGAAACAGACATAAATCATTCTTAAAAATATTAAAATGGTTTATAGAAATCATTAATTTTTAAGCCTGGCAATGTTAGTTACAGTCATATTTCCTGCCATGCACATAATAACCATTGTTGTCATCTGACATTTCAAATTACTACAAATCAGTCAAACAGAAAATATTTTAAAAGTAAAAATAATCTATTGAATAGAAAATGATTCAAATGTTTCTCTCATCATAGCTATGTCCTGTGTAGGAAATTCAAACAGACTTAACATAATAACAAAAGGAATTTTGCAAAATAGATGTCCTGCCGAAAATATTGTTTATAAAGAAATGTTATAGAGCTAATAATAGCTTCTATTACAACTTAATTTTCTCTGTCTGTAGAACAGGTATTCTACTAGTATATTAAATATTCCTTTTATAAAGACAAATGGAACATCTTTCTTAGCCAACAGGTTTCATTCTCTGATTGAATTTATCAAGACAATGTAAGGATTTTATTTTGCAACAAGTACTTATAAATAGAATAATGTTACTTTTATGGATTTTTTATATTTAAGAAGATTCATAAATATGCATCAGGCTAACTGAACATCAAGGTGAATTATGGTGAATGCTAAAGGATGTAATTTAATGTTGTATAAACCAAAATTTGTAAATGTTGTTGAATTTTTTATTTTTATAATCTAATAATTATTTACATTTTTAGTTTGAGATTAATTTCTGTATGTAAAATAATAGGTTTTGAATTTAAAAGTTTTTTTCTATTTTTTATGGTCATTTTGGCTTAAGAAAAGAGTATTTCTCTTAGAGAAGGAGATATTTTAAAAAATCTGGGATGCAAATTTATATTCTGACAAGATTCAATAGCAGCACTCTTAAGAATTTTTTATCTAAGTAAGTTACTTCTTTTTACTAAGTGCAGCATTCTTTAGATCAAAGTTGAGGTTGAACTTATTTCTATATAGGACTAATGCATTTAATAAATTGTTGTGTATAATATCTACAAAGTTTAATTTCTCTTGCCTAACATAGTTACACTTCTAAGTGAATGTTACAGGATAATAACCAGATAATGAGACCAGCTAATAATAACAAGATTGGGTTGGGAAGTCATGCAAATGAAAAAAAACAAAACAAATATATACAGAGAAAGAATGTACAAAGTACTCAAATGGAGAAGCAGACAGACTAACAAAACAAATGTTCTTAAAATAAATGATGCCAATAGATGAATCAGACAAAAAAGTAAAATGAGTGAAGCAAGGAATATGAAAATTGTATGGTTAACACAGGCAGTCAGCAGGTAAAGTCCCAGAAAAAATAATAAACTGTAAAAAGCAAGATTAGACAACTCTTTACCCTTAGTATGGCTATTGCAATATGAATATAATTTGGAAGAGTCAAGGTGATCCTTATACCTGTCAGACAATGTTTTCTTGTAACATCGAAGAGGAAATATTTAATTATATTAGTTTTTATTTTCAAACATTTTTTAAAGAAATAGATTGTGGTAATTTAAAAATTTTAAAACCAGGGATACCAGATATTTTTATTTTTAATCAACCCCACCCCAACTTTTTTAACTGGTTAACTTACCAAGTTATCCTGTTAATTTTGTGTTCTGAATGTAAACTGATTTAATTTTAAAAACTATGTATACAGGTAATATCTATTAATGTATCATAGCAAAATAAGTATTTTCTTCATCTGTGAAACAAATGTTACTTGTAAGAAAATTTTGTAAATATTATCAAAATTATTGTTTCTCTGAAATTAGTTTCAGATTTTGTTGATACATAATTTTGTAAAATGCTGAAATTGCTTTCTCATTATTTTATACAATTATATATTCTGTAATCAATTGGCATAAACAAATTCATTATTTTTGTAATATCTAAAAATGTCTAAACTGATTTTTGTGCATTTAATTATTTTATGGTATTTTTATTCTTTCTTTGTACATCTGCATTTATAGAAATTAGTTAATAATTGTAAGATGCTTCCTAATATTATATATAGTTACTAATTAACTAATTACTGGACATTATTAACAAGTTTTTTGTTAAAAATGTCCTTAGTAGTTGTTATTTAGCAGTGATTTAATTCTCCACATGTCTGCCGTCAATTGTTGATCCCAGTCACATGGTTGCCAGGCCTGGTATAAGGATCACTTTGGGCAAAGTTCAAAGGAGAATCAAGATAAAATCATTACCTCTTCTCTTATTTTCATGATTTTGTCAATTGCTTCATTCAATCCTCATAGACTATCTATATTTGTAAGTTTTGAAATAAGATTCATGTATTTCCAGAATAAAATAATTTTTTTTTTAAATTAGCTTTTTTGCAGCAGCTGTCATAACATGATCATCTTCACTCAAAAACACTTGTAAATTTTAATGTCAAATAGAAAAAACTATTTCCATAATATAAATTTAAAAAATATATATATAAAAAGATACAAACATGAAATTGGTGGCTGGAGAATTTACACCTACATATAAATAAAAACAATTTTTAACTTATTAAACAGTCAGTGAATCCTCTTAAATGTTACATAAGTCTTTGGCAATATTAAAAAAGGAAAATCTTGTGGGAATCAGCCTTGAGCTTGAAAAGTTTTTAAAACACTAACATTTTTATTTGTTTTAATTACTTTTTTGAGACCACACTAGACAAAATTATTTAACCCCCCCCCAAAAAAACGACAATTTGTTGGATATCAAGTGTATACTAGAACTAAAATGTTTGTATAATAGAAATTTCTAATTTTATTTTTAATTTGAACAAATTAATTGTACAGTCCATTTGCAAAATACTAATTACACTTAAAACGTTATCTCTTAAGTGTGAATCTCTGATAATAGACAGATGCCTTTCTTTTTTTAGGTAAAACATAATTTAAAAATGAAAATAGATCAATGTCTGTCAAAATTATAGATGTGACATGCTCCTCAATGTTAAATCAGACACATGATCAATTTATTAAGGGACACACTGTCTTTGTGTTTCCTCTTCCTTCTTTCATTCTTTATTTCCTGTCTAGACTGAGTCTAAAATGGCGGACAGAGGGACCTCCTGAGAAAGTGAGTAACGGTGGTCACACAAACTCATGTGACATACATCACCATGTGGGATTTTTGGTATTCTAATTTCAGTTTCCCAATAATCTCTGACCACAACAGGTCATCAGAAAATTGACTCTCAATGACATCTCATGAGAGATGTGCCCATGAACTTATTCCATTACTTGCTGTGTAAGAAATAAGAAAATATCATCCCAAAGATCTTGGATTTATTTAACTACTTGATGTGTAGTAAATAAAAAAGGTATTATTCTCGAAGACCATGGTTTTATTTGACTACTTGATGTGTCATAAAGAAAAAGAATATTATACCCAAAGATATATAAATGAATATTAATAACCTTCCCATATTCTGTTGTTTCTTTTTTTGTTATATAAAATTGTTATAAATGTTCATATTGTGTCTGTTATTCATTGGTACCTATTCGCATGTTCCTTTTCTTTTTTGTTGAACCTGGGGTTCATATTTCTATGTATTGCAAATTCACGACAGCAACGATAATTAAGAGCTAATTACTTTCAATGATGTTGCTAAAATACATTATCCTCCAAAAACTTATGCCAAAAAAGTGGATTTTAGATGAATCTTATTTGGGAAAATGCCATTCATTAATACAAAAACTTATCTTTCTGGGAATAAATACTGTGTTGGAATTGCCCTTTGAATTTCCTCATCCTGCGACATGACCACATGCATATTCGCGGACATGATTTTTGGAGCCACATTAAGACCAAATCCCAATCGAGTGAGGCAATATCTCCGTCCTTTTACGATCACAGTCTGAAAGGCTAGAGTAATCTGTGGACTCGTACTTGGAGGTAGGCCCTTCTTAAATTGAGGGTGGCCACGTTGCTCCCTTGCTGTCGCCATCCCCACAATTTCTGGGCACAAACGTCCGCACTGGCTGTATATGCATCTACAAAGTTATTCAATTCCCTGTAGCTCATGACTGGTCTCGCTTTCCCCTTATTCTCTTGCACTATTGCCATCAACAGAATCAGTCCTCGAGGCGGCCCTAGCTCCTCCTCGGGGTACGCCGCAAGCCAGCTAAAGCTGCTCTCCAAAGCTGCAATTCATTTTCGTATTCGATCCTGATATGCTTTGGAACCGGGTACTGTGCTAATTTATTTTAAAAGTGGCATGGGAGTTCAGCCACCCACTTCCACGTTGCGGTCCATACACCCCTGCACTGGTCGAAAGTTGCACTGAAGTCAGGTTCGTTAATCCTCAAAGATGGGCAGATCAGAAAACTCGACCTTGCCCACTTCTGTGATGCGTACGCTGTCCAGCTCCTTAATAATGTCCATCCCAAGGAGCAGCTCAAAACCTAATAACACGCTGTCCACGACCAACACACTGACTGTGACAGGGTTACCGTTGTTGATATTGAGTTTGATGTTTCCAACTCCCTGGCTTCTGAGATCCTTTCCATCGGCCATTAGTATGTCCATCTTTTGTCTGCTCCACTGTCGACAAATCAAACCATTCGTGAGTAACCGAGAGCAGCCCGAATCTACTAAAGCAGTACGCGTTATCTCATTGATGCGATCCTATTATTATTTAGAGGGAGCGCCTCTTTCATGCTCGGTGCGGGGAAGAGACTCGCACTGATGCCGCGTCCCTCATTCCATTTCCCGGAATCTGACCTACTTTATGACATTGGAAATATCGTAGATCGAGATGTGCCTTTCGTGCCGACCCGCTGCACATTTCTTTGCATTGATAGCGGCAGTCTTTGGCAAAATGATTCAGACCAGAGCACCAATAACGATGGCAACAGATGGGTGGGGTCGGATCCTCTTTGACTTCAATTGGTTGAACAACTGCGGCCACTGGTTCATCAGCCTCTTTTTCGTCGATCATAATAGCAATGGGCTCTGGTCAACAATTGATTGAGTGTCATGTCTTTCATTCGGGATGATGTGCGGAGTATCTGCTTAACATGACATGAAGGCACAGGTCATTCATTCTTCAGGAAGCTGTGCGATTGGTACGGCAAGCTTCTTTAATTCCGCCACATATACGTCTACTGTCTTGCCAGGTCGCAGACGCAGCGCCTGGAATTGGTCATAGGCCACAAACCGGTCAATTCCAAACGCGGTTAGTAGAGCACACTTTATTTGCTCAATGTCACTTTTCTGTTCTTTGCTCAGCTGCCTATACACAGCAAGGGCGCCACCTTTCAATTGCAGTGGAAGAATCTGTTCAATCTTCGTGATCTCGCATAATTCGCAGACCAGTTCCACATTTTCGATCCAGTCAACCACAGACTGTCCACTCGTATCACCATTGAATTCGGAGATCAGGTTTATGTCGAAAGGTCTTTCCACCATCTTGCTAGAGACAAAGTAAATGCCGAAATAGCTTGTGTTGGAATGTGTCACGAAAAAATAAATGATTTTGTCTCTTTCTCTCCTGCTGTCATAGCGACGGGTACAGTCTCCACTTTTGAGACAAAAATTGCCCTCCTTCTCATTCCAGCCCTTTACATAGAGCTTGGTAACTCACCTATGCAAAACACCAACAAGCCAGCTACCAATCACAGTTCCCGCGCCTGCCCACCTCCACTCGCTTTGGGGGTGTCAAGTTGACCGACCAACTCATTACAAATACAAAAGAAAGCAAAATCATGTGATGTGTTTTGTAAATAGTTTCGGATAATCTAGAATAAATAAAATTACTTTTAATATTCATAGATTCAACAGGGTATCTTTTTATATTAAATAGCCTATGCTTTATAAACAAAAAAACAATGCAAACAAAGAATGCAAATTCTGCATCATTTTGGAAAGGCAATTATTTTCTTACTGCTTTTACAAAATAATTATTCTGTTTCTCTGCTTTCTTTCCTATTTTGTCCTGTAATATCCCACAGAGAAACTCCTGACATCTTCTCAAAAGAAATTTACGACAACGACTAAATCCTTCTAAAGAATATGAATCAGTTTTAATGCATATATTTGTTAGCCTTTATAATAAATTCTTGGTGTACTTGTTGCGTTTCTGAGAATTATTTAAATGAGCCTACTGCATGGGGTGGCTGATCTGTTAATAAATTGTATATACTAGTTTAAGAACAGAGTCTTCGGGCTAAAATGTTTTTATCTCAATTAGGGCATTTCATCTGTATATGTTTTTAAAATGGATGTTCCAATCAAAGGCAGAAAACATACCCCTGTCATTTCTATAAGGTTCCACTGTCAGCACATGTCGATCAAGCTTGATACGACGACCTTTTCTGAGAAATGCTTCAGCTTCTTTGTCTGTGAAAAATTCAACCACACAAACTCTGAAAAGATACAGATATGGATGCATAACTAGGAAACTGAATCGGTCATTTAATTTGCACAAAAAAATGATAATTCTGAAATTTATCTTGTAATGATACCAGCATGTCAATTAATAAAAACACAAGACATATTTAACATTACATTCAACTATTGTCATTTACTATGGGCCTGTGTATGTGGCCCCAGGCTATCATTTGAAATGTGGACATTACATTCTCATCTGCAATATCTGAGAGATTGCTCTTCTATTTCTATGTGTTGCAAATTGATAGCATCAACAATAATTAAGAGCCAATCACTTTCATTGATGTTACTAAAATACATCACCCTTCAAAAACTTATTCCAAAAAGTGGATTTTGTCATTTACTATTGGCCTGTGTGTGTATGTGGCTGGCCATTACATTCTCATCTGCGATAACTGAGAGATTGCCCTTCTCTCTGGGATGGGTGATTATATATCTGTTATACTACTCTTTCTCACATGTGAATTCCCGGCGCAATTGTGTTGATCACATATATCTTCATTTGGTAAACAGGAAGTCATGTGTAAGTGAATATTACGAACACGACAAGAATTGGAACTTGGCTCTCAGGTTTCCAAATCAGAGCCACTATCTGTTACACCATCTGCACATCCAAGCTTACAGCACATGCTATTACAAAGCAATCACCCATCTAGGTACTGACCAATTCCAACATTGCTTAACTTTGGTGATTGTATGAGAACTGGTGTTTCAATGTAATATGGCCATAAGCTGCCAAAAAGAAAAGGATTTACTTTTTACAATTCAGTTAGACAATCAATGAATTATTTTTTAAAGAATTCATTTTTTTTCCCTGTTTATTACTTTATGGAAAAAAAGTTTTAATTAGTATTTCAAAAGTTTAAGATTTTCATTTCCATAAATAGTAAGCAGAGTGGAGATAATACGGTGATGTACATCCACACTTACAGCACCAGATAATTCCCATGTGGTCACCTATCTATGTACTGACCAGGCTTGACATTGCTTAACTTTGTTGATCATACAAGAAATAGTGTTTCAACATGATACGGCCATAAGACTGACCTGGAGTGAGGCACATACTACACTGCTATCGTCTTTCATTTAAAATGCTTAAGATCAAACTTAAAATATTTAGCACTCAGCATTATTAATATTACTTTCCTTTCCACTACATTTATTTTTCAAGGCCTCTCAATTACAATATCCTTATTGTTAATTTCATTCAAAGTTATTTTCTGTTGCCATAGCAAGATATGACAACACAACTATGAAATTCAAACACACTATTGTTTGGGGATCAGAGTCACCTTCAGTGGCAGGATAAACATTTTGTACAGCAAATGAAGTCACGTACAGAGTGATTGAGGTTAAGTGGAACCTTTTGTTGCTGAAAAGTCTTGATTATGGGGTGTTAGTTAATCTTATCTTGACAGAGATATATTCACATAATTAGATAAAAATGTATACATTTCTTGTAATAAGGGATAAACAGATACAGTACTTTGATTTTTCATTTCTTTTTCTTCTTTCCAGATATCTCTGGTTCTTAGAATCAGTTCAAATATTTTAAGAAACATCAAGTGACATGTTGAGATATATACAAAATCTAGAATTCATACTAGATTATTCCAAACCACTCCAAATGATAGAATTTTTTTTTTTTTACTCTAAATTTCTCTAAATGCTTGTGATTGCAAAAATTGGTGCTATTAATTGTCCCACAGGTGATACCAATATACAATAAATCAAAATAAAGCAAAAAAGATCTTAAATATTTACAAATGAAAAGAACTGTCATTTAACATCTGAACCTCACAATGAAAGTGAAGCCTATAATCATTGACATTGATTAAAAATGTCAGCTTGAAGTTAAAATGGCCAAGTACTAGTAATAAAGATCAATTTTCAATCCATGAAACTATTTGACAATAAAATGAGAAAGTAAGGTAAAGGGAAACAGATTGTGTACAACAGCTGCTCCCAACTGTCAAGGGGCAAGAAACGAGGCAGACTGGGCAGGCAAACAATTGTAACAATATCAATTTTCATTTTCTGAATTTATTTTTATTTTTAAATGCCATATCCCTTCAGAACATAGGCAGTCATAGCTCTCCACAGCTTTCTTCACTTTATTATCTGTGAGTTGTCATAACTTCCTGAGAAAAATAGTGGAATGGTTTCCTATTGCCTTGTCCATGGTTTTAAATTCAGAACTGTCCCCCATAGTGGGTGCCCTCCAAGGCTAGAGAACGCAATCTTCTCTACTATTTAATCCATAGCTTGAAGGAGAAGAGATGGATTCATGCCTTTGCTATGGGCATTAGTGTGAACACAACAAACTTGGTTGGAATTTGAACTCTGTTCATCAATTCTACTTTCCATGTCAATAACAGTCATGCTACCAACACATTTCCTGATTCACTGTTTTTACTCAGGAAGATGGTTGATTTCCAGCTTCCATGGAATAAAGGAAAGGGCATCATTTTAATGAACTCAATAAACCCATACAGGAGAAATGGATCATTATTTGACTCTTTGAGGAATCAGTAAGCAGAGTGTGAATTCTAGTCAAGTCCATTACATTTATTTACATGCTAATACCTTTGGGAAGAGTATGAATTTATCTCTTCTTCTCCCAGCTATGGATAAATAACAGGACAGACTGGCTCCTATAACCTTTTGTGGCAAATGGTCTAGAAGGACAACTCTGAAATCAAAACCCTAGTGTTTTGACCGAGGGCAACCCACACCATATTCTGTGGCCTTCGGCTGTTGGTCAAAAGCTTGGAGATGGCTGACACCAAGCTATCTGAAAAAATTAGGAGGAAGAAAAATAAACATTTCTTTTTTCTTCCCACAGATCCCCTCCTCTTAACCAACAGTTGAAGCAGTCAAGGGTTAAAAAAAAAAAAAAAAGTTGCATAAAGATGACATAAAGAAATCTAGTTTTCCTGTTTATCAAAGATTCAACATTTTCAGTTACATCACAGTGATTAATATAAACTATATTCAGTTTTTCTGACAAAGTTTATATATTTCTTGATTACAATTATTCAACTGGCCTTGCCACACCTTATCAACATTGAATATAAAGAGATATCATAAAATTTAACTATTTTTTAAAGTTACTAATAACAAAATAAAAAGAAAATGACATAAATGTATTACAGTGATAAAAGCAAATTTTTAAAGAAACACATTTCTCATTCACATATGAACTTCGACATGCACCTGTAAAAAGCATGGCAATTTAGCATTCAGCATCCTTTATAAATATTACTTCCCCCTTTTACTGTATATGGAATCCCCTCAAAATATAGAGTTTTATATATTAGTTCTATATATTTGAAATTGCAGTAGCCTGGCTCTCAATTTCAGTCATGATTGTTTTAGGTGTTGCCATAGAAGGATATGACTACACAACCAAAAAATTACAATTCAACTTGCATTGGCAGAACTAACATTTTACTTGGCAAAAATAATCACTTAGAGTGCTAAAGGTCAAAAGTTGTCATTTCAATACTTACGCTGAGTTTTCTCTTGACTGATCAATGCTAATGATAAGATCTTTGGCATTGGGAATGATAGAAAAGACTGTAGATTTGTTCACAGACAGTGGAAGATTTTTTACCAATATCAGCTTGTCTTTATCTATGTAAATAGAAAAAGTATTATTATTATTATTAGTAATAGTAGCAGTAGTAATGATGATGATGATAACAACAACCACCAGGCTGTTGAAAGTGATGATAAATATGAAATTGACATCTTTTTAGACCTTACTATCATTACAAGATTTTCCCTTTGAGTCTTTTATTATCATATATTCTGCGTATAAGACAACCGTTAAATCCAGAAAAAATCACCTTTAAAAATTGGGAGTCGTATACAATTCTAAAAAAGAAACCTTAAATTCTAAATGATGTTTGTCGGTAGGCTTACTTCGGCTTCGTTGCGATAAATAATAATATACATGAAAAGATTCACATTATCAAATAAACTGATAATAAAAGTAATAAAACCATTTCTACCTTATATATTACTGGTATAACTTCATAATAAATTGCCTATTTGAAGAATAATTCCATATCAATGAAATCAATTTGTATCCATGCAAGCTTAGCTGGGAAAATGTAAACATCAAGTTATAATTGCATTCACAGCAACCTTTAGCTTTTGCTAAACTTTCAATAATCATTGAGGTAGTGTTAATTACAACAGTAATAACATTTAGGATAACATAATATTAAAAAAAAAAATTGAAAGTGGAATGTACTATTCCCATACATTATGATACTCTTATTAACAGTATTTTATGACTGTCAATGAAGTATAAGTAAATGGCCATTAGTACACCAGGTTGTTTGTAACAGTTTAGATATAGAAAAAGAAGAAGAATCAGTAGTTGCAAGAGATTACGTGATGAAACAAACAAAAAAAATGGTTTCCCCTCTTTTTGGACATGTGTAGGAGAAGATGATAGAGAATCGGTTTTGTTATTGCATTTATTTTGAATTTTTAAGGATACAGTAACAACATTGCCATTAATGTCATCTTTATATAATCAATAATCTTATACTATAGGTATAGGATAAATTCATGAAAATTTGCGGTATTTTTTGATCTCATCTTATCTAAAGGTCATCTTATATGCAGAAATATACAATACATATTTTTATTATCATTGCTGCCCCACCTTTTTTTTGCCACCTGGTTTCACAAACATCTCAGAATGGTCAGTCAGTCATAATTGGAGTCAATTAGTAGAGTTACATGTTACAGACAAAAAATAAATACACTTGGATTATTATTATTATTACTACTACTACTGTTGTTGTTGTACTAAAACAAATCTATTAATGTTTTGAACTGCCTTCTCAGGTTTTTGATCTGGTTTCACAACAACAATTTAAAATAAAAAGGTTTTAACTGACTGACAAGTGAGTTTTCAAAATTAAAAAAGAAAATTAATCTGTAGTAACAGCAAAAAACATTTCTTATAAGGTCAATACCGTCACATTATATTAGGATCATTCCACAAAGGTCTGTAAAAGCTGCTCAGCAACTTTGACATAGTCAGGAAGGATATTAGAATAAACAAGAATCTACACTGGCAACAAACCACCTTTATACAAACAAAAAATGAGTTCAGCAGATATACAAAAATAGAAAGAGTTTAAGACAAGGGTGTGTCTTCTCACCAGATTTATTCAACCTATACAGTGAGGCAATTCTAAGAGAATTAGAAGTCCTATCAGGATTCATTATTGGCAGCCACAATTTTAACCAGATAAAGGTATGTAGTGTTAATATCAGACATGGAAAGGTAGCTACAAAAACTCCTGCAAAAGGTAGCAAAAGGAAAACAAAAAGAAGGGACTAAGTATAAACTACAAGAAGACAGAATGCATGGTCATCAGGAAAAAAGATGAGCCCAAAGTGCCAATTACAAATCAGGGATACTAAAATTAAACAAGTACAAAAATTGAAATCTCTGGGAAATGTTCTAACAGAGGATGGAAAGTGCAACACTGAAAACTGAAGATGTATTGCGATGACCAAAGATGCACTCCAAAAGCTAAACAAAGTATTAAGAGACAAAATAATTTGTTAGAAACAAAGAAAAGAGTATTGAACTGTTATGTAATATCTGTCACCCTGTATGGGCAGCAAATACTGGGCAATCTCCTCAAAGATGAAGAAGAGACTTGAAGTAACAGAAATGTGGGACTACAGAAAGATGAAAAGAAAGAAATAAATTTCTAATCTTCTGGAGATATAAATTTATGGCTAGCAGAGTTATTTAGTAAGTTTGCAACTAAACCATCAGAAGAAGAGATTCAATGAGGATCATAATGATTAGACTAACAAATTGGTCTACACAATGTGCAAAACTTGAAAAATGACATATACAAAATGTGACAAACTTGTGCCTTTGTGTCCACAAAAAAAAAAAAAAAAAAAAAAAAAAAAGTGTTTCAAAAGAATGTTTTTTTTTCCCTTGACACCACAATTATTTTAATTACCTTCACTCCTAAGCAATTATTTTGTTTTAAAAAATGATGATTAAAATTGTAATAAAACTTAATGATAGTGAATTTATAGTTTCATTATTCTTAACAAAGAAATAAACATTATTAATTTATTAGATTGTTTATTGGAATGATTGGCAAAACATTGTCTAATCGTGAATAAATTCAAATTTTATAAGAATTTCCTTATAGTCAGTTCACATATTCTACTTTAGTAAATGTTTATAAATTTATCAATATAAAATGGTTTTCATATTTATTTCTTGATAAAATGGTAAATGATAAATATTATATTAGCTCTTAGAGTGTTATAAATGTAAAATTATTCTTATAAATAAACAATAGTTTAATATTTTTGTTTTGTAAATTCTCAAGAACAAAAAAAATTATCAATTCACTTTCATCATGTTTAGGCTTTATTACAATTCTAATCATCACTTTTTAAAATCATAAACATTGCTAAGGAGTGAAGGTAGTAAAAATAATATCAGTGTCAATGGAAAAACTGGCCTTTGGAGACTCCATTTTTTTTGCAGGCATGAAGGTCCAACTTTGCCCAAAATGCTTACTTTAAAGATGATATATGCAAAGTGCATATTTTGCAAATTAAATCTTTTTTAAATCGTTTTACCTCAAGCTACGCAATAAAAACCACTAAAATGCTAAGGGTTACTGAGAGCGAAATAAACTGAGAAAACATTACTGTGGAGAAACTGATTGATTGTTTATTACAATCTATCAACCCTTGGCAAAAAAAAAAAAAAAAAGACAAAGAATGTATTCAGTTGTCCAAACAATTATTGAAATAATGTTTCATCTGAGAATTACAGGAGCGAAAGTTTAAAGAGTATCTATCAAATTTAATTAAAACAGATATAGAACACTTTTGTTCAGATACTGGTAGTGATCTATTTCAAATATGCAAGACAAACATAGCACAAGAGATTAAAATTCAGCAGGTAAGACCAAGAAAACGCTTTCAGTGGTTATAGAATTACACTGGGATGAATTTGGTCTGAGGTTGTTGGAAAATAATACGTTTCCATTTTCATGAAAAGAAAGACATCTTGTCACATGGAGACGGACAGGACATGAAAACAATGAACTGGCACGACCGATTAATTTCTTTTCTAGAAAATTAAAACCAACATAAGACAAGAACTGACATACAAGCACAGTACCATTCTTGTTTGTGTGTGTGTATGTCACTCTCTCATATAAATATAGATATGTGTGTTAGTATAATGTAGAAATACTATCTGAACAAAAGTAGGCGAAATGATACAAAATAGAAAAGCTTTTATAATGACAACGCATTTTGCCTTTGTGTGCTAGACTGGCATTTTTAGGTGAGAATGAAAGACAAAACTGTGTGTATGTTTTTTTTGTATTTGTGGTGGACATGAGACAGAATCTGGGACGAGCACAACTGGTCGAGACGGATGGCTACTGCCATATCCCGAGAAAGAGCTTGGCCCACCCAAGGGATTAATTCCCTTAATGGTAGTCGTACAAGAACACAAACAGAAGGTCCGGCCGGTACTTGACTATTGGGAGTTGAATGGCTTTGTAGACGCATTCATGGCTGACGCAGAGGTGTGTGCACAGAAATTACGAGAATGGCGACAAGGAGCTGACGTATCGCTGTTGGACTTGAGAAACGCGTACCTACAGATTCACATTGACAAATCACTATGGCCGTTTCAAACAGTGGTCATTAAGGGCAAGCGGTTTTGCCTTACGCATTTGGGTTTTGGCCTGAATGTGGCACCACTTGTCATGAAGTCAGTGATTGACATGATAACGTCCCAGGATCAGGACATTAAGAGTGCCACGTCGGCATACGTCGACGATATCTTCATAAATGAAGGCCTAGTTTCTGCAGCGCGCGTAAGACAGCACTTTGCAGATTACGGGCTAGTCTGTAAAGATCCGGAGCGATTGAGAGACGGAACTAAGGTCCTGGGTCTGCAAGTCTGGGAAGAAAGCAACTCTCTTCGATGGAAGCGGGAGGTCAGGTTCCAGAAATTGCTCAAAAGGTGACCCGCAAGTGTATTTTCCTTGTGCGGGAAACTCGTGGGTCATTTCCCTGTGTGCAGTTGGCTTAGGGTGGCAACTGCACTTATTAAGCGTTATGCAAGTACACTAACCAAAGGATGGTACGATGAGATAAAGGATGCCCCTCTTGGACGTATGCTGGAGGAAACAGTGGCCAGAGTGCGGGAATCAGATCCTGTCGGCGGAGACTGGTGTGTGAACAGCAATGACGTGACAGTTTGGGTGGATGCAAGCTCCGTGGCCACGGGAGTAGCACTAGAGGTGAATGGGAGCGTCGTGGAAGATGCTTGCTGGTTGCGTCCAACCAATGATGCCAAACACATTAATCTTGCTAAGCTTGATGCGGTGATCAAGGGTGTGAATCTTGCCCTGCAGTGGCAGGCACCAGTTATGCATGTGGTCACCGATTCAGCATGTGTGCATTGGTGGGTGTCTGACACCCTGACAGGAAAGACGCGCGTGAACACGAAGGCAGCGGGTGAAATGCTGATGAGGCGGCGCTTAGAGACACTGCGAGCTTTGGTGGAGGAGTACGCACTGACTATGACTGTGACATTGGTAAAATCTTGTCAGAGTGCCGCAACGCTGGTTGGAGATGCACAAGAAAGGAAGAGAACCGGTGCAAGTGAGTTGTGCCACTGCAATGAGCCAGTCAGGTGACCCACATCCACCAGCAGAGTGGGCACCCAAGTGTTAAAAGAACAATGTACTTTGCTAGGACTGTAGATCCAACGGTGTCTAAGGAACTGGTAGAATCTGTTGTTAGAACCTGTGAAGCCTGCCAATCGATCGATCCAGCACCAGTGCATTGGAAGAAAGGAAATTTGAGTGTGAGAAAAAACTGGAGCAGGTTAGCAATGGACGTGACCCATTACAATGGTAGCCATTTTCTTGTCCCCACCAAAAAAGAGCCCGTATTTGCTTAGCATGTAAAGCTACAGCAGTTGAAATGAGGGAGAGAAAAAAAAAGCACTTACCGCTCTGCCGTAATCCATCCTCGGCCAGATAACGTAAAAGAATGAGGGGGGACTGGCATTGCATTTTTATGCAATAACGATGCAATGCATTATGGGACATGGACGCAATGAATTATGGGATCACATGAAGACGCAAGGGATTATGGGTATATGAACAACTATAAAAGCAACTACTTTTTTCCGAGTAGGGGAGTTCTTCGAGGGACGTTCACGGTTGACAGCAAGAACGGGCAGTTAGTGTGATTTGGAGACAGAACTCAAGAAGGAACGACTCAAGGTTGAAATACCAGCTGGGAGAGCTTGAATTTACTCGTTGGTTACTGTTTTCTTCATTCGCCTCAGTATTAAAGCTGTTAATGTTTATTTACTAGATTGAGTAACAGAGATCTATTCAGAGTGGGCTAATTTTAATGGTTTGAATACAAAAAAAACAGTTTTGTTCTTTGATACTGACCAGAAGACAGCAATCTGGTAAAGTGACATTGCTGGATTCATAAAAAAAAAAAAAAAAAACACATTCTGACCTGAAGACAACAACATGGCAAACAAATATTACTGGCTTTATTACAAATTATTCTAAATTTAAAAAAAAAAAAAAAAAAAAAAAAACTTTAAAAATTTATTATTCATCAAAAAATTTTTTTTCTAAAAGAAAACAATGTCCATAATATATTTTATTTCTAAAAGCAAATGAAAACATTTCTAATTAAATAATGTCTTAGTTTCATTGTTTTTTATTTTGCATTTCAGAGCAGATTTTCTCTAAGTAGCAGTTATGTTTGACCAAAAAACATTAATGATTTAAATTCTCAGAGAACTTGTCCTAACTAATATAAAAATAAAGCACTACAATAAAAATTTTTCAAAATTTCATAAAATTAAATAAAATCGATATAAAAAAATATATATATATTTACCTAATTGTGTTAAAAGTGAAATGTTTCCAAAGTAACTTTATTCAGCCCTAAAATCCAGCAATTATTTGATTTTTGCAGGAATTTCAACATTAATGTATTTTTACCTGCAAAAAGCTGCTCAAATTTTGCATACTAATTTATAGTCCCCCTCCAATGCTGGGAAAACAAGATTTTTAACCAACATTTCAAAGGTTCTAAAAAGGATTTAAAAAAATAATTTTCACATCAAAATATCAGTTAGTCTTTTCTCTTAATTACAACAAAAACTTTGTCAATAAAATTTTGTTTATTTTCTAATAAGGCATGTTTTCATCATGTATGTTCATTTTTTAACAAATCTTTGGAGGTACCTACGTAATATATATATATTTACAAAACTTGCAATCAAATTCATATAAAAGATCCATAAAGACATATTTGATGTCATGTTGTTATACATTAACTGATTTCACATTTATTTTTTTTATTTTTATATCAGACAAAATGGATTTTGTGATAGTATTTGAGCAGATGCAAGTTGAAAAAAAAAAATAATTATCCTCCAAAATCAAATTTAATAGAAAACTTACCATCACTTGATCTATGTAAGTAGTCTTCATGCCGACTGGTGTGAGGACGTGAATGTGCATCACGATGGCTCTCATGCTCATCTCCAAGTTTAGAATGAGAACGAGGGACCGCTGACCTATGCCCAGAGCTATGGTGACTGTAGGAAGTTCTGGGATGATTGTTATCACGGCTATCCTGACTAGGGCGATCTCGGGTACGGTCTTTGTCGCGGCTATGCTCTTTGTCATGGCTACGGTCTTTGTCACGTCTACGGTCTTTGTCACGTCTACGGTCTTTGTCACGGCTCCATTCTCTGTCTCTCTCTTTAGGGGCAGGTACAGATTCCTGATCCTTTTTGCTGGAGGTTGAAGATTCAGAGTGGACCAAGCTCTGAATGGATAAGAGGTTCCGGTCCAATTTGATAGAACGGTCTTGGTCAGCATAATATAGAGCATGACTGACTTTGGGAAAGATGATGATGCTTGATCTGGGAAGAAAAGAAAGGTATAGAGAAATTAACAAGTTTCAAATACAGAAATCAAAAGGTTTTACTTACCTGTTCTCCTAGAAGACCAAGGAAAGTACTTTTATATTAGTTTATTATGGAAGAAAATATTCAAACACTGTTCAATGAATAAGACAGTGAACAGTAGCTAACTTTACATTGGAATGGGTATAGAATGATACAATCAGTTGTCATTGCTGAGTAGTTTGGTAATGGCTCCAGAAATAAACATTTTTAATAAATAAAAAAAAAAAAAAAACACACACTAGAAAACATATCTGAGAAAATTTACATCAGTTGTTCTTCAGCTCAAGGTTGAAAATGGCTCAGCACAATTTCTTATCTTTCATAGCTCTAAGTAATGCTTGTCTTACTACCCCTATTAGTTACTGTTCTGCCAACTATTTGCACATAACTCATTAAACAGATTACTCACCATTTTCCTGTTTCTCTTGCCTTCAATATATCCAGGGAGTATCAATTTTACCAAAATCTATATCCGATTCACAAATCTTTTTACTGTAGAGTTCAGTAATGAGAAAGTCGGTTCTCCCTTCATCTGCATGTGCAAAATAGACATGGAGAGTGACACCTTTCTGAATGTATTAGCCCACAACACCCATTGCCCAACCCCTGGTATGGGTCGCTATAAGTTACAACTCATGCTCAACTTTGGCATTTGTAGAGGAAACACTGAATAGGTTTATGTAAGTTCAAGACATTGTTCAACCTGTTTTTCTGCCATTCCTCTAAGGTGCTGGCAATGTGTCATTACAGCCTGTCTACATGATACCTATTCAACACGTCCTGAAAGATGGTCAACTTTCCTGGTGAGCACGACCGGCAGATCCATTTCCCATTAAACATGTATGAAACACAACAGGATGATATTCAACTTTTTCAATGAGTCAAGTTTTTCCTGTTGCATCAAGATACAAGAAGTATAGGATAATGTATCACAGGATGATAATAGTCACTCTCTGTATGAAGGTATGAATGCAAAAGTACAGGCCTGAGTCAACACCCAAGGAGGCTATATGTTGTATTAATATGGGATCTTAGTACTATTGATATACTTATTTGGGAACTTATGATCCAGCTATATTGTTTGTTTAATCTTGAGTAAACTACACTGCAATTTTATTTTCCATTGGTGCAGGTAAGAGTCAAGACCATTCAGATGATAATAAAAACAGAATACTAAGAAGGGTGCTGGAGTATTGAAAAATATTTGCTGTCATTTGCTATTCCTAATACAGTGTAACCCGGATATAAGAGAGTTGTCGGGACCGGAGAAGAAGTCTCTTATATCCGGGTTTGGTCTATTTTATATACATTAACACAGGCTCTAATTTGGGACCAGAGAAAATCTCTCTTATATCCGGGTTACACTGTAATACAAGGTGTCTCTAAAGTCTGGACACAGGAAATCTCATTAACTATATATATATTTTTTTTTTTTTTTTTTTTACTTTCACAGATTTTGCCGAAAGAAAGAAAGAAAGAAAGAATTGACTTCTTAAAAGGTCAACTTAATGAAAATCACAGATGCAACACACTTGATTGAATGCATAAAGAGTGAATGTGCTAAAATTGATGGCAATGTGGAGTTATTGCATCGAGTTCACATGAATCTTGCTAAGCACATCAACCTTTGCATCACAAATGATGGAAATCATATTGAAGATGTTATCTGCTAATATTCCAATTCAATAAAAAGTTGTTGAAAATTTAATTTCTTGAAAATATGCATTTTTACCTGTGTGAGCAGACTTTAGGGACACCCAGTAGAACATGTGAAATCAACAGTTAACAGTAGTAACTCTCACTACTTGAGTACTTGGAATGATTGCAAGGTAACCTTGAAAAGAAATTGGACAAGTTCTCACATTTAAAGATAAATGCAGGGAGATTAAAGAGACTCGTTATCATCCCATCTCGAGTGAAAGCGACAATATACAACGGGCAGGAAAACTCAACAAATGAAAAATAATAATTTTTTTTTATTCTGTATAAAGTTTTGTGTGCAGACAAAATGAGAAAGAATAATTTCACTGAGACCAAAAACAGTTGCCCTTTGAAAATCAATAACAGACAACGCAAATCAGTTCCTTTGTCACGTCTAAATTGAAAAAAAAAAAAAAAAAAGAAAAAAATGAGATGGTCGTTGCTGCCGCCATATAATGAAATTATCTAGCTCAGAAGTGAGTAAAAGTTATTGTATGCAAAGTGGCAATATGTTTTGTACTTAATGACTTTCCTGAACTATCTAAGCAGTCAGTCATTATCAAGTGCATTTAAAGGTGCAGCAACATTAAGACACTTTTAAATATTTTTTTTTTACATGTAAATTACAGGGTGGTGCAGCAAAATCTGACACTTGACAAAAAGAAAATGAAATAGGCAATAAAAACAAAAGTTGTATATGCAGAGACCCAACAGTTTATTTAGCAACAGTTAGAGTTACATACTTCATTATTTTTCAATGTAACCGCCAGCGGCAGCAACGACCATCTCAAGGTGGGCACGAAATGAGTCAAATTCTTTGGCGACCATGTCCATAGCGGCGTGTTGCGGGCATGCTTGTTGGTCTTGGCCTCGATTATGCTCCAGAAGAAATAGTCAAGGGAGTTGCAGTCAGGTGAGGAGGGTGGCCACAAGTCTGGCGACCAGTGGTGAGGAACATTGTTGAGCAGCCACGCCTGGGTCGTCTTGGCCTTGTGTGCAGAGAGGGGGACATCATGCCTCTGTTTTTCTTTCAAAAGGGCCTGAGAGTCACCACTGAGACCTACCAGGAGGTGCTGAGAAGCGTGATGAAGCCCTGGATGGACAAGATCATTGCCGGAAGCCCCTACGTCTTCCAGCAGGACTCCACTCCTGCACACAGGGCCAAGACGACCCAAGCGTGGCTGCTCAACAATGTTCCTCACCACTGGTTGCCAGACTTGTGGCCGCCCTCCTCACCTGACTGCAACCCCCATGACTATTTCTTCGGGTGTGTGATCGAAGCCAAGACCAACAAGCACACACACAACACGGTCGACTCTCTGAAGGCTGTCATTGTGGAGGTGTTCTATGGACAAAGACATGGTCACCAAAGCATGTGACTCATTTCGCGCCAACCTCGAGATGGTCGTCGCCGCCAGTGGCGGTTACATTGAAAAATAATATAGTATGTACCTCTAACTGTTGCTAAATAAACTGTCGGGTCTCTGCATATACAACTTGTGCCTATTTCGTTTTCTTCTTGTCAAGTGTTGGATTGCTGCCCTGTCGTAAAAATGGTCTAAAGCAAGTACTTTCATGCTTATGTATTACTGTCCTTAATTTTGTAAATATGTTTTATACAAAGGTCTGAACTCAAATGGTAAGTCATTTTTTTTTTTTTTTTTTTGAAATCCAGGCATTTTCAAAAAAACATTTGCCTTATATAGAAAAAAAAATGAACAAATGGACATGAATTTTCACCAAGTTATGAAAAGATAAGATTTTTTTGTATGAATATGATATAGAAAGACAGCTTATTTCTATATGAATGTATAGTAGAGTCAAAAAAATACAGCCATTTAGGAAATTTAAATTTTGTAAACATTATCAAATGCAATGAAAGAAGCAAAAAAAAACAAAAAAAAACAGATTACTCAGACAGGTTAATGGCTGGAAGCATTGGATTGCATAAAAACTGACAGGAAAAAAAAAAAAGAAACCAATCTTTCATAACAAAGAAAGTAAATCTGTAAATCAATATTAATAAATCACAATAAACAAAAGACACGGTTGAAAAATGATTACAAAAGAATATATTATGATTCGTTTAAAAATGTATGACATCTACTGATTTCTTTTTTATCCTAATGGGTAAAGTGATATCATGGTTCCCAAGAATAAGGGAGGTGAGATTTTCTTTATTTCTGATCCACATTGATCCCTTAATGGTTGATGAATAACACTTTGAGATCAATAATCCAAAGCAAACATCATGACAGAAATGCCAGTCAAAATTTATAATAATGACAATGGTTCATCTAAAAAATTCCAACACTCTAACATCTCATCCTTCTTATATAAAAAAAAATTGTAAAATTCATTATCAGTTCAAAGGAAAATGTGGATTGCTCCAAATATTAGATCATTGTAAAAGTTTGTGCCTGATTCAGTCAGTCAATTAAGTGCCGTATGTGATGCTCAAGTGGGTGATCATGTCTCTTTTGATTCATGACTGTCTAGACAGATTTTCCTATAGTTGGTTGCTGTTTCTTTCTGCAGTGATCTGGTTGCTAACCGAGGCTATAGGACTGTCTGTCCTGCTATTGAACCCATAGCTGAGAAGAGATGGATTCATACCTTTCCCACAGGCATTTGTGCATAAGTGAATGCAACGAAACCTACTGGAATTGGAACTTGGCTCTGATTTCTCACTCAGAGCCAATATCCATTACATCACAATACACATCCTGTCTCTGATCAGAAAATTAAAAACAAAATTATACATACTGACAAAAAACAAATATTTATTAGTCAAATACATAGTCTTTGTTTTTAATGTATTCTAATGTTTTACATGCTTGTTGATGCTATTTTCATAGAAACTTTGTGTTTGTTATTAGAAGAAGGTTGTGAGGTGGTTTTCAACAGACTATCAATTTTTTTCAAATTTGAATTGTTCTGTAGAGACCAGAACAAATGAAAATCTCAAGGAAGTCAGGCAAATATGGTGGGTGCTGAAAGATTTCCCATTTCAACTCTTATTGGTTCTGCAAGGTCTGTTCTGCTACATGCAGTCTTATGGTGTCGTAGTGGAATATGACACCTTACCAATTTGCCAAAATGGGCCATTTTTCATGAATAGTTACACTGAGATTGTTGAGTTGGTCATAATATATCTTTGCAGTTACTGTTCCATCGGCTGGAAGAAGCACAAAATGAATTCTCTCTCTGCAGCCCCAGCAACACCTTTTCATTGGATTCAAGCCCCAAGGGTT